TACTCCTGTAACTTAGCATGCTTTTTGGCTGCAAGAAGAAACTGCAATCCAGGCTGGCTTAAACAATAAGATAATTTAGTAATTCACATAACAGGAAGGGCAGCGCTAAGGTGGCTTGCAGGCAAGGTTATGCTCCAGGTTCTAGATACCTTGTTCTGTAATTCTCTCTAGGCTCTTTCCTCCACCATGTATTGTTTTTTATCTCACGCTGGCATCCCTCATGCTTACAAGAGGGCTGCCAGAACCACTACCAGCAACATACTTCCTTGCTCAAAGCTTTTCCTTGCAGACCTGGGCTATTCATCGTTCCTATCTATCTGATTAGGTCACTGTCAGTCATATGTCTGTCCCTGGACCAGATGCAGCCTCCAGGAGAATGCAACGCACTGACTGGCTTATCCTTATGCTCTTTGTCCAGTCACTGGCATAGCGGATGGACCCAGCCTGGAAGTGGGTCACATAAACTGAGTGGGAGAGGGATGGTGACCTGAGCCATCTTACCTGAGTCAGCTAGGAAGGAGGAGGGAGAACGCACACCAGAAAGCTGTAAAGAAATCCTTGTGATTGTCTGAGTGGCTTTTCGATCCTTGGAGCCAAAGTGCCCCAGGGATAGGTGGGTTCCTGGCTGGAGTCCAAATGCCTCTGCAGCTTGGCTCCGATTCCAGCTGGTTCTGCAGCCTCTGCTCTCGCCTGTGCTGCTCACGGCTGGCTTGGGGCTTCGGCAAGCCGGTGTCCACTCTGCTCCAGGCCCCAGTGCAGGAGCTGCTGCTCTGATCCGTGAGCAGAACCAATGCTGCCATGTTCTAATTCAAATAAGCCTCGTTCTTCTCTGCAGGCGGGCTGGCATGGGCAGAGTAAATTCTTCTGAGGAAGGCCTGTTTACAACAAATCCTGAACTCAGTCATCTTTCAGCGGTTGACACTTGAAATCTCCCATGCACAGAGCTGAAGGGAGAGCCGCCCTGGAACTATCAATGATGAGACACAAAAGCTTTCAGAGAGTTGCTCAGGCTGGGGGCTCTGGGTTCAAATCCCACTAGCCCCACTCACTGCAAAACTGCAAGCCTCAGGCTCCTTCTCTGTAAAAATGGTGGTAATGTATATCTGCGACCCTTTATCTGATCATTTGGAGGCAAAAGGCTGACCGGAGGCGGTTCATCACCTTTATTTATCCCACTTGGCATCAGAACTCATATGTCTCCTTGAAGAAATGTTCACGCGTTTGATTTAAAACCCCATACTTAATATACCTTCACACTAACTTTCCTCTTGGTTACAACATGGCTGCCAGCAACACCAGAGGCGACATGCTTCCTCCTGTCCCATATTACCTTATTCCATTAGTATGGCTGAGCTACAATTCACTCAGGAATCGAGGACGAGGTAAGGGATGGTGGCAGCGGGAGCTCGGTGGTCCTTGGCACAGCCACTCTGGGGCGAACGTGGTCTGTGCGGTCACAGAGGCGCGCGTTCCAGGGCCGAGGGCGCCACGCGGGCGGGGGTCGGCAGCGAGCCAGACCGCAGGGAGCCGCGCCGGAGCCCGCGGGCCGCACGTGGTGAGTTGGGCGGCGCGGCTGCTCACAGCGCCCCCTGCTGGAGACATGGCAGGCGCGGCGGCCAGGAAAATCCCAGGGTCCCCTCATTGAAATGCAGACAAGCTACAATGTGTAAAGTGACTTCAGAAAGTCCCCAGCATGTCCACTTTCCTGGCCTAGCAATCCTTGTTGTCCAACAAAGTGTGGACGTGTTTCTGCACCCCGCTTGGGTGGCACCCCAACACAGGTTTAATCCCCACATCAAGCGGGGCAGCCCTGGCTCGGTGTGACCCACCTGCAACAATGCCTGGCCCCGGGTCTCCGCAGAGTCCATCACAGGACAGCCTTATCCTTTCAAGGCAGACCGTTAAAACTCAGGAGCGGAGAAGGCGCAGCCTGTCCGCCCCAGCTAGTTAAACCTGAGGCCAGGAAGGTGACCTTGACTTACAGGAAATGTCAAAGAGGATTTGCCAAGAGCCAGCCCCGCCGGAACCTCCATCGTTCCTGCCTGTAGGACCTTCCCAACGTGAGATGCATTCCTGTAAATATGATTTGCAAAATTCCAATAGGCTCACAAGCCCAGGGGGAGAAAGCCAGGGGTGCGTGGTCACCAACTGTTGTCCTGTCGCCTATCGGCCTTGGAGTCATCTTTAGACAGTGATCATGGACATCAGGAATGCTTGAACAAAATACTTAATGAGAGTGTCCTAAACAATAGTGTCAACGAGCAGCCTAGAGATAGTTCCAGGGATGAGTTGCAGCAAACAGTGTAAGGACTTAAAATTCCCCTCCTCTTTTCTCTTCCTCTCTTCGTGGTCAGGGGATGGTTGCTACAGCACCGTCAAATCACCTTGCCTTCACAGTAATTTTCAAAAGCACTAGGAGAGGGGCACGTGGACAAACTTTCTCCTTTTTTGTCACAAAGGAATACAAATAAACTACTCCTTATTGCTCATTGGCCAGGGCTGGTCATATGCTCGTTCTTAGACCAATCACTGACAGAGATAAGTGGAGTCACATGATATGCAGGAACCAATCACAATTCACTTTCTGGCACTGGGTACATTGAGGGAGGAAAGGAAGAGGTGAGCTCTAGTTAGCTAGAGTCCTGCTGACTGCTGTAACAAGTAAACCTCTGTGTTTCACAGGCAGAGTACAACAGATGCTATTTATGGACTGGTCCAATGAGGGTGTTGATAGAAGGCAGGTGACTTCTTCCCTAAGTGGTCTCAGGGTGACACGTGCCCTCTGCTCACATCCCCTTGGTGAGAATTCAGCATTTGATTCTGCCTGGACACAAGAGTAGCTGGGAGGTACAGCAGCAAGTCCACAGTGGGAAGTGGTGTTTGGGGGAGGCAACAGGTGATCTTCCTTCCAGGTGATCTATGACATCATTACTCTTAAGTAACATCCCATCTTTCCCAGACCTTTTTGCCACTCACTTCCTGGGAAGTGTATGTCCCTACACTAAACCACAAATCATTTCTCAACACTCCTTTGTAGCTCTTCTTGAACCCCTATTCATCCTCCGGAACCTAAGTTAAAAGCCATCTCTTTTGGGGTGCCTTTCCCACTATTTTTATCTTGAGGCTGACTCATCACTGAATCTCTACAGGTTTAGCACACAGTAGGGGCTCAGTTTGTGTGCCAAAAGTAATTGAGTACTCCAGTCACAAGAACTCATTTCACTGTAACTGAAAGAAAACCATCTCCGATTGCTTTAATGGAAGATACTGATTTGTGTTACTGGCCATGACCCTGAGGCTTCTTCAACCTTGGCTAAATCCCTGAGTTTTCAAGATTCAGTCTTTCTTCATATTAGTTTTAATCTCTGTCAGCCACTCCTGACCTCATTCTCCAAGGTTCAAGTACAACAGGAAGTGAAATCACTCTCTTCCGGAGTGTTGGAGTGTAAATTCCACTGTCATTCTGCTTGGACTACCTAGGGTCCTTTGCCCTTCCAGGACCCAATACCAGGTCGGAGGGCAAGGCTTATGCAGATTGGCAGGGATGTGACATTCTGATTGGTTCATTCAGAGTTCCATGCACCAATCCTGAAGCTGGTAGGGTGTGGTCAGTTCCAGAGGCTTGAGGGAGAGCATGGCTTCCCACAGGAAACTCAGGCATCGCTATCAGGTCGTTCATCAGGAGCGTCCAGTACGTTGAACAATTCATCTCATGCCAGCCATTGTTGGCTGAGCACCATGTGTCAGGCCCATGTGCCTTACACACAGTGACCTGCAAGATTGCTTCTAGAATTTCCTCCATTTTCCAGATGAGGAGACTGAGGCACCAGAGGACTGGAATAAGTGGCTGTGGAGGAATTGGACACAACCCATGCTTTAAGCCACCAATTGCTGGGACTCCTCGGTGGGTGGTTTCTGCTTTGGGATCTTAGCCGCTGACGTCTGGGAGTGGTGGTGCAGAGGGTCTCGTGACCCTCTATAGGACTTGTCGGGCTCATATTGTCCCTACAGAGGCTCTGAGTATTTCTGGGTCAGGTGAGGTTCAAGTTATGACATGACAAAAATGCCCCTCAGTGCCATAGGCCCCTGCTCTAAGACAAAAAGACAGGGCTCCCCATCAGGGGACACACTACCATTTTGATCCCTTTTCTTTGGGAACACAGGGAGCAGAGGGTAAATGACATGCCATAACCATCTGTCCAGCTCCTAATAATACATTGTGAGAGCAACAGTTCCAGGAAAACATGGCTTTGGGGAGGGGAAGAGCACCCCTCCCCAAAGCCATCTGCTCTGTCCTCACATGCCAAGCTGTGGGCACAGGAGAGCAGGGAAGGGGGAGGTGCCACTCAGGCCTGCACGGCGGGCAGGGTGGCTCACACATTCTCTTCCTTTTGTCACCATAGACAGGACATTACGTGAGAGAGAGACACGCTTGCCAGCTTTGAATAACCCGGGCCGAGTGTCAGAGTAGAAGCAAAGCTTGTTTCCTGCAAGATGCTAAAGGTAGGTGACAATGCCTCCTGAGGACAGCCAGGCACTCTTCTGTCCACTTCGCATGTGATCCAACGTCACATCTATGTGTGCTCATTTCATAGATGGGCATCTGGAAGCTCAGACTTGCCCAAGATCATGCAGGTGGAAGAGTTAAGGCTTGAACTCAGGCCCCCAAAGGACACTGTGTTCCCCAACATAGCGAGGGTCCTCTTTAGCATGCAATAAGGAAACCAGCCATGCGTCCCCCCTGGGGCCCCAGGGCGGGTGTTCTAGGTAACAGACAAGCAGTTGACATCATCCTGGGGTGAGGGTGGGGAGCTCCCACCTGCAACCCTGACCAGGCAGTCCCTCCACCACAATGAAGCCTGTCTGGTCACCTGACCCTTCACTCTCTGGCCCATGTCCTCCAGTCCAAGAAGCACAGGAGGAAGGAGTGGGAGGCTCTCCCGCAGCTCTTGGACAAGGTCAGGGAGCAGCAGGCAGAGGCCGAGCTACGGAAGCTGCGGCAGCAGTTCCGGAAGATGGTGCAGAGTCGCAAGTCCTTCAACTTCCGGAATCAGCTGAAGATCGCCAGCCAGTAGTAAGTGACCGTGACCTCGTACCCGCTGACCTTGGAGGGCAGCTGGGGGCGAGACCTTTCCAAATCCCACCTGGCCACCTGGTCTTTAAAGACCTAGTGTCAAGAGAAAGCACTCCAGGTGGCCTCAGTGGGAGCGGGAAGGGGACATCTCAGGGAGGGCCCTCCATGGAACCCATTCCGGTTCTTGTCTCCATCTCTTGAGTTTACCAGTAACCAACCAAGGGCCATGCGGACTGTCTTGAATCAATTCCAACCCAAAACTCCCAGGGAGACTCTGATTGGCTCAGGTGTTTACTCCTGGTCCAATCAGCTGTGGCCTTGGTGGGGCGGGGCCGGAGGAGGGGAAGGGGGCGTGGTTATCCCTCCAGCGGTCTAGCCTCAGAAGCAGGAGTTCCCGGGCAAGGCCAGGGTCGCTGGGCTGCGGCCACCCCAACGATGCCTCCTATTTGTGTGTCCTTTTGGAATTGCAAGATAGATTCTTCGAAATTGGGTTGCCTTAGAAATGATGATGTGTAGATTTCTTTGGGCAAAAGAAAGGCGTTCCCTGGAGCTGAATAAATAAACAAAACATATTCTTAGATTCCCACCAAGGGAAAATAATCCCTTAGCTTCGTCCATAATGCGAATACGGGTAGAAATTATCTGTTATTAAAAAGAAACTCTTATTGTTAGGTGCATAAAGTTCAGAGGATGGAGGGAAAGGGTTTTTTGTTTGCATGGATTCGCTTAGGGCCAAGGCTAGTCCGTATGGGATTTCTCTGTGAATTTTTAAGTCATCTTTTCTCAAGACACTTTACTGCCATCTATTGGAAAAATGCTCATTGTGTAGGGATTTTATTAGAACAAGAAAAAGTGTTTCCCAGGAAAGTATAATGAATCAACTTAGTGATACTTTGTTGACACTCTAGGTTTGTGCAGTTCACAACAGGCACATCAGTGCCTACACTTGGTGGGAATCAGGCACAGCTCCTGCCTGGTGTGTGTCTAAGTGGATCCATTTGATCTCACTTTGATGAAACGGAAAGGGAGGGGTGTGGAAGAGAAGAGTTTGGGGTTTTTTTGTAATAAAACACCTATGATAGGATCAGAACTGAGGTGAGGTGCCTGGGGTCAGTATTTCAGGAGATGCCATATTTAAGGAAGCACTTGTCCTAGCGCTGACCCTAACCTTAGGTCATCCTGAGAGTGAGTGCCTCCTTTCTTAAATTTCAGAGTGTCTCACTCCCCTTGCCCAGTCCCAGCCCCACGTAAAAGACAAAGCCTCCTTTTGCTCTTACCACCCCTCCTAACCCAGGTAGGCTTTCTCTGTTTTTTTCTCTTAACAAAGACCGCCTTCCAGGCGGGGGAAATTCAAGTACTCACTAGCTACGTGTGTCTAGGAGGATACCTAGTGACATCCCTCTCCTGTCCTTGTAGAATGTCCTTCCCCAGCACTGCTGTAGGACAGGGGTTGGCGGACCATGGCCCAAGGGCCAAATCTGGGTGGCTGCCAGCCTTTGTAAATAAAGTTTTATTAGCACATGCCCACCCACACCTATTTCTTCCTGCCTTGCCTACTTTCCTACTGGGAGGGGAGTCCAGCAGTTGTAAAGGGCAGAGTGGCCCTCAAAGCCTAAAATATTTACTCTTTGACCTTTTATAGACAGAGGATGGCCAACCCCTCCTCTAGAACAATCTGTAGCATTCTAGAATGATGCTTCTACACTTTATGTGCACAGGCAGCACTTGAGGATCTGGTTACAGAGCCCCTAGGTCCTGAGTGGGGTCTTGAGGCTGCAATTCTCCAAACTTCCAAAGGACACTGTGACAGCTGGTCCCAAACCACACCACCAGTGGTAGCAGAAACCTGCCTCCATGCCATTTCCCGTTGGTCAGCTGTTGGCAGTCTCCCGGTTCCCTTTTCTTTTTGAGATCCCCTATTTTCATGTCTGTCGCCAACTCTTTTGCAGAGCAGCTAGGGAGAGCAGGGTCAGACAATGCTGGTCCAAAGCATTGGTTGGGGTTCAAGGTTATTTTGTTGATGCCAACTTGTAGAATCCTGCCCCTTATTAGCAGAGATAATTGGCTGCTAAGTCTGGGAAGATGGTGGTCAAAACCCAACCAATACCCTCCTCACCCCCACTTCCCACCCCATCCCCTCAGCTGCAGAGAAAGAACACCCTGCTCCAGCCTGTCTAGGCAATGGATGATTTTTTTTTTGCAGTGCTGAGGTTTGAACTCAGAGCTTACACCTTGAGCCACCCCACCAGCCCTTTTTTGTAATGGGTTTCTTTGAGATAGGGTCTCGAGAACTATTTGCTTGGGCTGGCTTCAAACCGCAATCTTCCTGATCCCTACCTCCTGAGTAGCTAGGATTACAGGTGTGAGCCACCAGTGCCCAGCTGACAGATGGGTTTTCACAGGCCCAGCTACAAACTGCTCCCCAGGAACGTAGAGCGGGGAAACTGCAGCAAATTGGGTCTGGGGTGATTAGAATCCAGACCTGAATCTGAGACCTCAGGCAAAATCTCTCCATCATTCACTGGGGTGACTTGCGTCTCCCACGTTCCTCCCAGGGCTGAGGCACCTGCAGCAGCTGTCCCTCTGACTGTGGGGTGCAGGGCTAACTGAGCCTGCTTTTCCCCAGCAAGGAAATCGAGAGTCTGAAAGCTGAACAGGATGAACTCACCCTGCTCCTGGGTCTCCTGCGGTCATCCAAGAACCTGAATCTGAATCAGAAGAACTACGTGGAACTGAGTTTCCTGCTGCAGACCAAGGAGGACTACGAGACGCTGATTAAATCCATGAAGGTGCTGCTGGCCGAGCTGGACGAGAAGGTGCGTGTCTCCCCGGGGCTGCACATGGGGATGCAGGTTAGGCAGGCGAGGCTGCCCTGTCCGCCATTCGTGTCCTGCCATCACCACCCCAGGAACCCCAGCCTGACATCTAGCCTGCAGATGGACCTGCAGGGAGGGGCCTCTTCCAGTGTGCGTTCCTTGTGTCTGCCTTCTCTCATACAACACCCCAATAACAGCAAGTAAACACCCCGAGGCAGCCCCGAAATGCAGCTCACACATGGTATAATCCTTTATTGGAGGGGGTGGTACTGGGAGTTGAACTCAGGGCCTTGCACTTGCTAGGCAAGTGCTCTACCACTTGAGCCATGGCCCCAGCCCTTTTTGTGTTGGGTATTTTTGAGGTAGGGTCTTGTGTTTATGCCCAGGCAAGCCTGAACTGTGATCCTCCTATTTACATTTCTCATGTAACTGGGATGATAGGTGTGTACCACCACACCCAGGTATTGGTTGAGATGGGGGTCTTCAGAAGTTTTTGCCCAAGCTGGTCTCAAACAACTCAGAGTAGCTGGGATTGCAGGTATAAGCCACTGTGCCCAGCCTATCCTTACTAGTTTGTATAAATCAATATGATGCCCCAATTATAACATATAGAGGAAATGGAAGAAAAAGTTGAACACTAAAATTGAGTGTGTTTTGATATATGAACGTTCTGGTCCAACAGATGTGAGACAGGCCAGTGGCCTCTTTCTATGGGGAACCAGGTAGTTAATAGTTAGGCTTTCCAGGCTATATGGTCTCTATTGAAACTGCACTCTAACTGTGTGTCGTGAAGGTAGCAGCCACAGACAATACAGAAACGAATGGGCATGGTTGTGTTTAAGTAAAACTTTATTTGTAATAACAAGCTGTGGGCCTGTTTGGTCAAGGGCTGTAGTTTGCAGAGCCCTGTCTCAAAACAGGTACCCAGAGGTCTGTATAGATCTGCACAATCACCCAGGATTCACAGCCATGCTGCGCACTGATTCCAGCCTGTTCTGTCCCTAACTCAAAGATCTATAAGGTGCTGGTGACATATTTCCACAATGGTGACTAACTCTTGGTAAAGTCCCAAACTAATCAAAGAACAGTCTCTACTCTTTGTTCACACAAAGCCTCCATTCCCATCTATTACAACTGAACCAAAGAGTAGGGAACAAGTCTTGGATGTCTGGTGCCTTCTCACAGTGGCAGGCTGTGTGACTTTTTGTGAACCACCATGAGGTGCCTGTGGGGTCCTCATCATTAAAAGAGTCAAGCAACACCTTTGCCAGGTGACAGAAGGCTCGTCAGGGGCAATGGCATTTCTGCCAAGACACCATGGCTTTAGAGAAGCCAAATTTATATCCACAGGTGAGTAAAAATTTACATGCTAGCCAAACCTCTGGATTGCCTCATTTTACCCAAAGTTGACCCAACAGTTGAGTGAAACATCCACATATAGGATGAGAAAGACTGATGCTGCTTTTGCTGCAGCCCACCTTGGTAAATGAATTGTAGAATCTGTACTCCTGCAGATGTTAACACAGCTTCTCTCTCTCTTTCTCTTTCTCTCAGATTGTTCACATGGAAAAAAAAATCACAAAACAAAGACAGATCTACTTAAAAACACAAGAGATCCATAGTCCCCGGAAGCTGCAGAAACAGATTCACATTTTGGAAACACGGTTGAATGTCGTACGTACTTGGTTCTCCGCAGTCCTAGTCCTCCCCTGTGCTCTGGGTAAAGAATGGTGACTGTTAACAGAGCGGTCACCATTTCTTTGGTTGACTCAGGAGCTGGGAATTGGTGGTGGACACCCAGGCCAGGAAGCCTATTAGAATTTTCTGTTCATCCTGCTCCTCCCACTCCATACCAGCTGCTGTGGCACTTGCCATTGTCCCTCCATCCCATCCTCACTCCATCTCATGCCTGGGATGCCTCTTTACCTGCCTCAAACACTCCTGCTCGTTTTCCAGAATCAGCTCAAGGTAGACCTTTCTCCTCTTCTGTCATAGCCGGTGACTTGTTGATGTTCTTTTAAGTACTGTCAGGCACACGTATTTGTAACTTGGTCACGCGTGATTTTTTCTGATCATCTTCAACTGACAGTAGCTTTTGCATTAAGCTCTCTAGATTACAAAATAGCTTAAGTAAAAAAAAAAAAGAGAAGAAAAGAAAAACAAAAAAGGAAAGATTTTAGTCTTGGAATAGAAGAATTCAGAGGTAGGCATACAAGTGGGCACTTTGAGCAGAGCTGGATCCAGGTGCTTTTGGAAATCTCTTTCCATCTCCTCTGGGTAAGCTTTATTTTCAGGTAGACTCCCTCCTCCAGCACATGAGCAAATGCCAGCAGAAAGGGAGCATTTTTCCTGTGTGTTTAATTACATGTACCACGTCAGGTTCCCATTGGGCCAGCCTGGGTCAAGTGTCTGTCCCTGAGCCAATCAATCACTGTGTCCAAAAGAATAGGCTACATGGACCTGAGTCCCCTGCTCCCAAGGCAGGGCAGCACTGCCCTGTCCACACTACGGGGAATAGAAGTGGGAGAGAGGTGGTTTTGACCCTTGAAAGACAAGAAGGGAGAAGGGACACAGGGCAGGACAAATCTCACTCCCTCCTGGCTTGGGAAATTGCCGTTTCTGAAACAGAAACCAGCAGAGAGAGGGAAAGTGGATTGATTTAGAGAGAGGGCTGTCAGTAGCTTTCCCAGACCACCAGGCGTTCACTAGGCATGGATGGAGCTGATGGATTCTATTCGTCTGTCCTCCCCAGCCACCTGGGGGCTGACTGAGGACAGGAGGGTAGCTTTTTAATAGACATGCCCAGTGGTTTGTGACTGTGCCTCGGAATGCACAGGATGTGTGTTAAAAATGTCATTCCTGGATCCTGTGCAGAATGGGTGGATCAGAACCTCCAAGGCACAAGGTGAGGCCGTCTGCACTGTTGTTAGCAAACCCAGTGAGGCTGAAAGGTCCCCCTTGGTCACATATCATAGCATCAATGCCTGGCACAGTGTGAGACCCAGAGAAAGTATTCATCAAACATCTGTTAATTGAACAAGTGAACCAATGAATGCATGCAGGATGTCATGATGGCTTGTCTGTAGAGTTTCATATTTTTTGTTATAGGTCTACTCCGATTTTCTTTTTTTATTTCTTTTTTTTTTTTGGTGGGACTGGGGTTTGAACTCAGGGCTTCACACTTGTAAAACAGGTGCTCAACTACTTGAGACACATATCTCTAGTCCATTTTGCTCTGATTATTTTGGAGATGAGGCTTGGACTGGCCTCAAACTGTGATCTTTGGATTTCAGCCTCCAAAGTAGCTCGGATTACCTGGATGGTAATTCTATTTCTTATTTGTTTGGTAACCTCCACTGTTTTTTTCATAGTGGCTGGAGGACTGTACATTCACACCAACAATAGAACCAACATCACTTAAAAAAATACTTTAAAAAAACTAAATGAATTTATTAAAAGACAAATTTATTAAGACACACAGAAAAGTAGAGAGAATAAAACCATGACCACCCACACTTTGAATGCCTATCACTTTCATTTAATAATTGTCAACGTTTTGCTTTAATTTGCTTTGGTTTTTTTAGCCTGAAGTATTTTAAGATAAATTACTTACCTTAATTAACATAATTAAGGTAAGGCATGATGACATTTTGCCCCTAAATTCTTCAGTTTCATCTCTTAAAATTAAGAATTTTAATTTACAATCATAACACCGGTAACGAGCCTGACAAAGGTGAATATTTCCTTAATACTACTGAATAACGAGCCCCTACTGATACTTCTCTGGTTGAATCAAAAATATCTTTTAAGAGCTGATTCAGTCAAGGTCCATATAATTGTTAGGAGAGTGGTCTTAATGGGTGGCATTTTTGGCCCCTCAGGGACATTATCTCCCAACGGAGACCCTTTTGGTTGTCACAGCTAGGTTTGGGGTGGGGGCACCAGTGGGGATTTAACATCCTACAGAGCACAGGGGTCATCCAGTCCAGAGCCCCAGCAGTGCTGAGTGTGAGAACCACTGCTCCAGTGTCCCTGTTCTGCCTCATTTGGGGCCATCAACCTGCTGAAGTGTCCCAGTCAATGGGCCCATAGGAAATTCTGCCTTCTAGATTTGACTGGTTATTTCTGGTGGGGTCATTGCCCTTGTTCCTTCCCTCCCCTTCCATAATTTCTCAAAACTAGAAGTTAGGTGGAAAAGTAGTTGAGGAATTTGAAATCTGGAAGGTCACTTAGCCAGTTGGTGGCCAACTTAGACCTCTCGCACTGTACTCCAGCCATTGTTCCATGGCCCTGGGGTGGGAGGTGAACAGGATCTTCTGGAAGCTTCTCTGACACTCCAGGCAGGACGGACCCTGGTTTGAAATGCAGCTCTTTCCACAGGTCACCGTTCACTTTGACAAAATGATGACCAACAATGCCAAGCTCCGGAAGGAAATCGAGGACCTCCGGTTCGAGAAGGCCGCATATGACCACGTCTACCAGCAGCTCCACCGGCGTCTGATGATGCAGAAGAAAACCATGGACTCAGCCATCGAGCAGTCAGCCCAGGCCTATAAGCAGAGGTGGGTGGAGAGGCTGGGGTGGAGGGCTCAGAGTTTCTTGCCGAGCAGCCCACTTCTTACGCTGGGAAACCATAACCACCATGATAACTGAGCACTGACCATGTGCCCAGAGGGATGCCAGGGGCTCTGGGCGTCACCTTTACCCTCACTGACCCTCACCATTTCACAGACCAGAACAGAGAGGCTGAGAGAGGCTAAAATACCTACCTGAAATCCAGGTAAGTGGCAGACGTGGTGAGGTCAGGGTGCATACTCTGTCTTCTGTACCCTCCCCCCGAGGTGCCCCACACTAGTCCAGCGGTCTTTCTCCACCCAGGTCTCTCCTGACACAGAGAGCAGGTTTTAGAGTCAGGAGGATCTGGGTTTGAATCTTGGCTCCACCATTGTTGTAGGGTGTCTTTAGGTGGTAGTGAGGATTGATGACTGTCTTAGGTAAGAGAGGGCCTGGGCCACAGTGATTGACAGGTGGTGAGGACGGTGATGGTGAGGATGACGTTGTGATGGTGATGGTGGTGAAGGTGGTGATGGGGATTTTGGTGATGGTGGTGATGGTGGTGGTAGGGATGGTGGCAATGATAGAGATGCTACTTCTGCACCTGGTGGTGACAATGACAGAGGGTGATGATAGGAAAATCACCTCCTGGGATGCTGCAGAGCTCACAGCTCCAGTTCAGGTAGGAAAAGGTATTCTTCTACTCCCAGAAACCTTTGCTGTTAAAGAGCATGAGGTCACAGGCCAGGCAGGAAGTTCCTCTGGACTGGGGAGAAGGGAGAAGGGAGAAGGGAGGACTCTGCAGACACTGAGGCCCTGCACCCTCACCAGGGTGGAAGCCATGGCTAGAATGGCTGCCATGAAAGACCGCCAGCAGAAGGACATCTCTCAATACAACCTGGAGATCCGGGAGCTGGAGCGGCTGTATGACCACGAGACCAAGCTCAAATCCTTCCTGCTCGTCAAGCTGAACGACCGCAGTGAATTCGAGGAGAAGGCCAAAAAGGAAGAAGGTATGTTCTCTGGGTGGTCCCCCTCCCTCCCTCTCTCTCTTCCTCTCTCTTTCTTTTCTCTCCTTCTCTCTCCCTCCCTCCTCCCTCTCTCTCATTGCCCAAGTCTCCTTATAGTAGGAGCACCAAATTTTGCAAATGAAAGTATAAGACACTGAGTTCTAGTTAAATTTCAGATGGACAATGGACAATTTTTAGAACAAGTGTGTCCCACGGAGTATGTGGCTCGGACTTATTCTAAAACCTTGCTTCTTCTCCCTGGGAACCAGAGAGGCCTTTGGCGATGCAGCTCGCAGGAACTGGACTGTGTTTTATCTGTCAGCCGCTCCCTGCAGGATGTGCGCTCCATTGTTTTGGGGTCCCCTAGACCTTCCCTAGGTTGGGTGACTTGCTGGGGGGACTCTCAGCATGTAGTCACCCTTGTGGCTGTGATGTGTTACAGTGGAAAGGCACAAAGCAAAATCATCAAAGGGAAAAGTCGCAGGAGTCAGGGGGACCAGAGGGAACCAGGTGGGACTTTCCAAGAGGAGTCCCAGAGCACACGGTGTCCTGCAGTGTCGGGTGACAGCACGTGTGAAAAGCTGTCTCCTAGGACTGTGCACTAGAGACTCAGTGGCCACAACTCTTCCCAAGAGGCTGGTGGCATAGGCGCCCTCTGCTCAGCACATTCCTAGTCCCCGGACTCACAGCAAAGCAGGTCTTCAGCACAAACCACATTTTGGCCAGGTTGGGCACCATGAGCTCTGTCATCTAGGGGGTATTTACATCTGCCACTCAAGCCCCAGGTGCCACCAGAGCCAGCCTTAAAGAGTCCTTCCTAGTGGGAGCGGGCAAGGCTGCTGAGCCAGCTCCCTTCCAAATAGACTGGAAAGGCTAGGCTCTTCTGAGCACTGCCTGCACAACCCTCCTCCCTCTCCCTCCCTCCCTCCCTCCCTCCCTTCCTCCTTCGTCCTCCCTCCTCCTCCTCCCTCCTCTCCTCTTCCTTCTCCCCCTCCTCTCCTCCTCCTCCCCTCATCTCCCTTCCTCCCTTCCTCCTCCCTTCCTCTCTCTCTTCCTCCCTCCCTCCCTTCACTCCTTTTGTTAGAAATGCTGTTCCCAAACAGTGATCAGAGAAACACTTGGGAGTAGCTCAACAAGGCAAAAAGAAGTTTTACTTCTGCAGAAGGGTGCAGCCACAGACCAGAATCTGATAGGCAGAACACACTGGGCGGGGAGTCAGCTCGGTTTTGATCTCTTTGCCCCTCACTCTGATGGACGAGTTTGGGTTCTCAGTCTTCCTGATTGGCTTAGATGTTGTTTGGGGCAAGGGCAAGGTTTTCCAGCATGGTGACCTTTTACAGCTTAATGAGAGAGTGATTACCCATGGTTTACAGCTCAGTGAGGGAGTGATTTCTCAAGGTCCCCTGCAGACAGGAGACGGAGGCTGACATTTTTACTTATGGTTTCAGGAATTTGAGATTTGATTAGGCTACAGAAAAGACAGGGCAAGCAGTTTGAGATTAGGGCATCGTGGTAAACAGCTCTTTGTCTGACCGCAAGACCCTTGCAAGGTCAAGCCACCCTTCATCAAACAGTAAGCAGCAATTTCAGAGGGTAGCTGCCGTCTACACAGTGACAGACATGAACTCCTTTGACGGAAATCAGCTGACTTTAGTTGATTCTTACATCAGCCTCCCAAGTAGCTGGGATTACAGACGTGAGTTGCTTTTTCTGTTAGTTCTTCTGCCAAAATCTCCTTGGGGCCCTGGCTTCCCTAGCAGCAGACCCCAGCCCAGTGACTGGCACACGGTCACTGCTTGCTCAGGAGTCCGTGGAGTGGGTGACAAGCAATGCACCTGTCTCATCTCCTGGGGAAATCCAACCCCATCCCAAGGCACAGTGGCCAGGGAGTGGATTCCTTTTGGGACCCACTGTTGCTGGTGTTTTCTTCAGCACCGAAGGCAAGGAAACACGGCAAGGAGAGCAAGGGTGAGAGCTTCGAGAGCTACGAGGTGGCACATCTGCGCCTGCTGAGGCTGACCAAGAATGGGGACCTCAACCAACTCATCGAGGACTTCATGGCCAAGGAGGAGAAGAATTTCGCCCGGTTCACGTACGTCACGGAGCTCAACAACGACATGGAGACCATGCAGAAGAAGACGCAGAGGATCCAGGTCAGGCCACTCTTGCTCCCTTAGGCCTGGGGCCACCTGTTCCTGCCTCAGCCTCCCCTAGCGCGGGCCCCTTGGGACACCGTGCCATGCCACGTCCTGCAGACAGAAGGATCTCGGGGTCCAGCCAGTTGGGCAAACGCGACTCGTGCCCCACAGCCTTCCCTACATTTTAGCATCTCTGAAATTGGCATTTGTCTTAATGTGGTCAGGTCTCCTTGCCTCTAACAGTGACATTTATAACCCATGGCATGTTTTATTATCCAGGGTTCAGTAAACTATGCCCATGCCTGTTTTTTTACAACTCACGAACTAGGAGTGATTTTTTTTTTTTTTGAGAGATTTGATGTACAGGAGCACAGTAAAGGTTCTGACAAGTCCTGCAGGAAAGAAACCTGTTTATCTTTGTTGAACCCATAACTTCTCAAATTTAATTGGCTCCCTGGGCGTCTTACTCCCCAGAACGTAAATAACATCCTTTGGAACTGTCTGCACAGAATAGAGTCTAAACCCCTTATTGCTACACTCTGCCCCCTGCAAAATTTGGCTTGGACCTGCTCGTATGGGCTCAGGTCTTGTTACACCATGGACCCCTCTGCAGCTGCCAGCCCCAGCTGTCCCCTACTCAAACACTTCCTCCTCCCCCACCTTGTGATGACATCCTGCTTATTAGCCCTGACCCCCACACAAATGTCCCCACTGCTGGGAATTCATTACTCTTTCCTCTGAGGTCCCTGTCCTCTATGTGACAAGAAGAACTGCCGTCCTTCATAATATCGAAGGGTAACAATAATAATACCTGTAATCAAACAGTAATGAAAATAATACAGTAACCAGTATTAGTGGATTTAAAGAACACACTTTATAGATAGCAGGAGACGTTAATAGGCATCCAGGTGGTCCTGTCAGAGTTGGGGCAGGAAACAGCACAAAGAGGTAAACTGAGGGCAGTGTCTTAAAGGATAAGGAAGTCCTGGAGAGTGCAGGACCAGTCAGGGTGGCTCCAGTTTGGGTGAGGGGAGGGAGCAGCTTCTGCAAGGAGGAGAGGTGCTTGGCCAAGGCTTTGGTGGGTCCTCCCCGGGGAGATGCAGCCCAGGAGGTGGGCAAGTAAGTGCCGCCCCCCACCCGCCAGTCTCTACACCGTGCCTCCCATTGGTTGAGTCTAACTGGCAGCCCTAGCAGGGCGGGGAAGGGTGGCAGGTGGATTGGAGGCAAGTGAGGGAGTCCAGCCCAGGGAGAACCCTTTTGCTCCCTGTCGCCCTCCCGAGGGATCTGACACAGGACAGGCATGTGGGTGTATTCCCTTTATTCCCAGAGTCCAGGGTGACACAGGGGCACTCGGAAGTGGTTCTTAATAGAATTGACCTTGACCTTCCCATTCACCTTGAGGGTACAGCCTGTCTGTCGCCCAGCATTAGGACAGATTCCTGCCCTCTGGGCCGCATGTGGAGAGTGACATACTTGGACTAGAGTTTCCAAACCCTTATTTAAAATCTATGGACAGGAGGTGTGGTTCAAGTGGTAGAGCACCTGCTTTGCCAACAGGAAGTCCTGAGTTCAAACCCCAGCCCCCCCCAAAACAACACAAGAAGAAAGAAAAGAAAAGCTACAGATTGTTTTTGTTTAAACCCATACTAGAGCAAGCAGGTAGTGTGGGGGTGGTCCTGGGTGAGAGGTTGGGGTGCAGTGAGGTCAGAGGGGGTGCAAGGACCTAGTGGCCTCTTGTGGCTCTGCTCAAAGTAGGGACCAGGTTTTTAAAATGTTGTTTTTTTAAAAAAAGATTCTAACATCTGGCTGTAGCCTTACCTAGAGGGCTGGGGTCTGAAGTCACACACTGGCTGGACACAGCCTCTGTCCTTTTCTTTCCTCTCTTCCACCTCGAAATTGTTCATTTATTATGTGCCAGTGTAGAAATCAGGATATTCCGCATGAAAATCTGGATTCCTGGTTTCTCTAGGAGCATCAGATTTGACAGCTCCGGCCCAGGTTCCCTCGATGGGCAGGGCTGGTCCTCATTCACCAGAACTCACTGGTCCCACTGCTCAGCAGTGGCCTCTGCAGTTGCCCCACCAGGCGCAGGTGCTTCATCACTGTCTTCTAGTGGCCGCCTTCGGTATTGCAGGGGCCTGGGTTCTCATCTTCAAGAGGGCACCCAGTGGGGTGACGTGGACAGGCCATAGCAGAGGGCTGTGAGGACGCAGGTGGTCCCCTGACCTGACCAGATTGACCTTCATATGGCCCATACCCCTTGGTGGCTCTCCCTTGGCCACCCTATCTCCTATTGGGACCAGTGGGTCTGATGTAAGATGGGCCTCAGTTTCCCCATCTGTAGAATGACTCTTGAAGTAGAACAGTAGCTTCTAAGCTCTTTTTAATTAATGAACTGATTTTTGCAGTCCTGAACCACATCTAATTAGAGCTCCAAGAGCGCACTGGATAAGTAGCTTCCAACAGGGAGGCTTAATTCTAAAATATTTACAATGTGCTTAGGCTGAGAGTGCAGCTCAGTGGTTAGCGCAAGTCTGGCAGGTGCAAGGCCCGGGGTTCCATCCCCAGCACTGCAAGGAAAAATAGAGATGCTTATTATGAAAAATTTGGGAACAACCTATGATAGAAGGAATTTAAAAAACCACCCACTCTCCCACTGCCTGGGAGACAGTCGGGTGATATTTTGAAATAATTCTTTGGCCCTTTTGTCCTGCTCCTCTTCCTCTTCCTTCTCATGGTGCCTTTAAAACCTAGCGTAGCAACCGTCACAGGGGACGCAGATGCCCCACTGGAATCTCAGGATGGTTCATAAAATGCAGGTTCCCAGGCCTCTTCTCACATTACAGACCTGGCTCCCTATGGAGAGCCTCCTCCATTGTACGAATGAACCATCAGTGATATGACCAGTCGCCTGTCAGGAAGCATTTAGGCTGTCCCTAACTGGAGCCATTGTGAAGACCACACAACAGACCCCTGAAGGGCTGCGCCTGTGAGCTGTTCTCAGATTTCCGTGGGACACAGTCCTAGGAACAGAATTGTTCCGTCAAAGGGTTGAGACGCATGGTGCTGAAGACTTGTTGGAAATGCTCGTTCTCGGGCCCCACCCAGCCCTACAGACTCAGAAACTTGGAGTGGGGCCCAGAAGTCTGTTTCCACAAGGCTCTGGGGGACTCTGATTCTTGGTGGGGTTTGAGAGCTCCCGCCCCAGAGCTGCTCGGTTCAGTGCAGTAGCCACATGTCAGTATTAAAGTGGAAAACTTGTTCCTCAGTGCCACTAGCCACGTTTGAAGTCCTCAGTGTTCCGCATGTGGCTGGCGACCATGGCCTTAGCGCAGGTGGAAAATCCTCGACTGTCCCCTTCTGGGTAATTCTACAGAGAGGACACACATTGCATCTCTGCCCTTCACTCCCCTTTCCCTAACTGGCTCAGGATGAATCCTGGGGCTCCTTGAAACGATCACTTAAACCTCCAGTGTCTCAAAAGAAGAAATTCAAATGGCCAGAAAACACATGAAAAAATGCTCACCATCTCTAGCAATAAAGGAAATGCAAATTAAAACCACACTAAGATTCCACCTCACCCCTGTTAGAACAGCCATCATCAGCAACACCACCAACAACAGGTGTTGGCGAGGATGCGGGGAAAAAGGAACCCTCTTACACTGTTGGTGGTAATGTAGACTAGTACAACCACTCTGGAAAAAATTTGGAGGCTACTTAAAAAGCTGGACATTGATCTACCATTTGATCCAGCAATACCACTCTTGGGGATATACCCAAAAGACTGTTACTCCAGAGGCACCTGCACATCCATGTTTATTGCGGCACTATTCACAATAGCCAAGTTATGGAAACAGCCAAGATGCCCCAGCACTGACAAATGGATTAAGAAAATGTGGTATCTATACACAATGGAATTTTATGCAGCCATGAAGAAGAACGAAATGTTATCATTCGCTGGTAAATGGATGGAATTGGAGAACATCATTCTGAGTGAGGTTAGCCTGGCTCAAAAGACCAAAAATCGTATGTTCTCCCTCATATGTGGACATTAGATCAAGGGCAAACACAACAAGGGGATTGGACTATGAGCACATGATAAAAGCGAGAGCGCACAAGGGAGGGGTGAGGATAGGTAAGACACCTAAAAAACTAGCTAGCATTTGTTGCCCTTAATGCAGAGAAACTAAAGCAGATACCTTAAAGCAACTGAGGCCAATAGGAAAAGGGGACCAGGTACTAGAGAAAAGGTTAGATCAAAAAGAATTAACCTAGAAGGTAACACCCACGCACAGGAAATCAATGTGAGTCAATGCCCTGTATAGCTATCCTTATCTCAACCAGCAAAAACCCTTGTTCCTTCCTATTATTGCTTATACTCTCTCTACAACAAAATTAGAGATAAGGGCAAAATAGTTTCTGCTGGGTATTGAGGGGGGGAGCGGGAGGGGTGGAGTGGGTGGTAAGGGAGGGGGTGGGGGCAGGGGGGAGAAATAAACCAAGCCTTGTATGCACATATGAATAATAAAAGAAAAATGAAAAAAAAAAAAACAAAAAAAAAAACCTCCAGTGTCCCTGGAGGTGCAGACTGGGTGTCGCATGAGTGGGGGAGGGGAGCACCATTTTCCTCATATGTCTGATTCTCTATCTCCCCCTTCCCCCCCTACCAAGCAGGACGAGATCATCCACCTGCGATCCCGGCAGCAGGTGACCCATGATGACAGCCGGACCGTCCTGGCACAGATGGAGGTGAGGTGGGGTGCGGGAGAAGGATGCAGGAGTCCCCTGTGGGGGACTTGGCTAGCAAGGCCCTTTGTTGACTTCTCCACTTTCTTTATGGCTGAAGTGTACATGTGATGGCTGGACCTGTGGCAGCTTTAATGCTACCACAAGGTATCCTTGGGATGTAAGCCACGCACCAAGGATAGCAAAACAATTAGAAGGAGCATGGGGCATCGTTGATGTCAGATGGCTCCTGCCAGCCCTGAAGTACCTGTTTCTGGGCTTACCTGATAAAGTCGATAAGCTTCTATCTTATCTGGCCCACTATCATTTTGGGTCTCTGTTATTAGCAGCCAAACCACAAATTTACATTTACAATGTAAAATTCATATACGATCTCAGCTCCTTGACAATGGTCAAGTGATTTTACCTGCTGGCCTCAGTTTCCTCATCTGTAAAATGGAGAGGTCAGTAAGCCAACCCCACAGTGAGGCTGCAGTGAGGATTTGGTGAGACTGTGCCAGCAAGGCCCATGGCCAGGGCAGGATGCACAGTACTTGCTCACCAAATGCTTGGACCTGGGGCTGCGGTGCTCAGCGTGGAGTGCTTGCCTAGCACACAGGCCCTGGGTTCCAGACCCAGCACCAAAAAACAAGTAGAAAAGAGGGAAAGAAATGTCTGCGGTTGCTGTTATTGGTGGAAAACAGATGCCGGACAAAGGGGAGAGAGGAGGAGAGCTGGCCTGAACTCTGTAGCCCCAGCCTGGGCTTGGCTGCTGAAGACCACTAACGGGGGCACACGTTTATAATGAAAAGGTCAAGGGACAGGACTCTGTATTGACACCTGCAGGAAAGACTGCCTGTGGCAAAGGCACATGGCTGGCTAGGACCCAGGCCATCGCAAAGCATTGGACAGGTGTCTTCCTGTGCCTAGAAACAGCTGACAGGCCAGAGACAGACAGACAAGAACTGTGCTCCTGGGTTGTTACTTTCGTCCCTTCTCCAGGACTGTCTCCCACCTGGTGGACGGCCATGGCGGTGCCACCCCCTTGTGGGCCACTGGGTGGCAGCAAAGCATAGGTGGCCACAACCCAGGCGCGTGCCTCAGGAGGCTGCAGGGCCATTGCAGGTTTCCAGCCAGGGTCTGACCCTCCCTGAGCAGGTCACCCGGGGCTGAGGCACACTCCTCTCTTGTCAGAGGCCTTGGACAGGGGACACTCCCCACCCTGCCCCTGCCTCTGTCCTAAGCCCCACTTTGGCTCTGCTCTTCAGCCTGACTCTGGGGGCAGGCTTCCTCCCAAGTGTGCGTGATCAAGCAGGAGCACTCCTCTTCCTTCTTATTTGATTGACTGATTGATTGATTGACTGATTTGATTTGCTAGGCAGGCGCTGGACCACTCGCCACACCCCAGCTCAGGAGCATTAATCTGTTTTTTGTTTATTTGCGGTACTGGGTCTTAAACTCAGGGCCTTCACCTTGAGCCACTCCACCAGCCCTTTTTTGTGATGGGTGTTTTTGACATAGGGTCTCAAGAACTATTTGCCTGGATCCGGCTTCGAACCTCCATCCTCCTGATCTCTGCTCCTGAGCAGCTAGGATTACAGGCGTGAGCTGCCAGCGCCTGGCTAGGAGCGTTGATCTTAACAGCCCAGGGCTGGAGGGTGTGTCCTGGCCCTGCTGAAGTCACCTCCACCTGCTATGTCAGCAGAAGTGGGGGACCTTCTCCCCTAGCAAGTGAGACTCAGGGCCTGGGGGCCTGGGTGGCTGCTCAGAACAGTCACTTCCTAGCTCTGCCACTTTGAAATAGTGTCAGTAAATGAGGGAAATAATACAGATGATGGCAGCCATGGCTCCTGCTGACCGTGAAAGCCAGAAAACCTGGAACCCGATAGGTCTTTACAGTGGCTCACAGCAGGCAGCTGAGCCTGGGGCCCTTTCCTTCTCTGGTCCTGGTGCTCCTTGCCTGAAAACCAGCCAGGGAGGCTGAGGAAAGGGCCAGGAGCATCCCAGCGCCCCACCCCCAGTGCTGGCCTGTCTTTGGTCCCCGAGGCTCTCACACTTCACTGCACACCAGTGTCACCTGGAGGCTTGCTAAGAGCCAGGTGACTGGCCAGGCCTGAGAACCTGGACCCTCAGCTGCAGCAGGCACTCGTCAACCAGTCCCCAGAGGCCACCCTGACACTGCCGGCCCTGGGACCCTGCTTTGAGAACCGCTGGACTCACGGGATGGTGGTGGGGGAAGAACTGTGAGCAGTGAAATCTGTGCTCAGCATTTAAAGGTAGACCAGAACAGACTAGAAAATACGGGAACCTGCAAGGACAGCATTGGCTTCTGAAGCTTTAAGTTGGCAACAGATAAATATACACGATGTGTGTGTACATGGGCCATGATGTATTTCTCCCCAGGGCCACAAAATTGGTGGTTTGGTTTTTTTTTTAAATGAGTCAACAGTTTTTTTTAAATACTATGACCCAAGCTGGGCGTGGTGGTGCCCACTGGTGATCCCGGCACTCAGGAGGCTGAGGCAGGAGGATGGGAAGTTGGAGGCCAACCTGGGCTACACAGGGAGACCCTGCTCAAAAATAAAAAGATAAATAAATAGCACTGTGGTCCAGCACTCAGGGACGCGAAAGAACTTACAGTAAGCCATGTTTACCCATGGGACCCTTAAAGCACACTAGTAGTTTCTCTTTCTTTCCTGCTCTATTTGATTCAATTCTTTAAAAAATGCTGATGGGAGCACCTTACATCGCTCCACACCTCAGCTGTCCCCACAGGGTCCCCAAGCCCCTCCCACGGAAAGGAAAGTCCTTGCCAAGGGGCTGACCCCGGGTGGGACCTGGTTCTGCCCCCAGGAGAATCTGAAGAAGACCATGGAGGAGGCGGACATGTTCGAGAACAAAAGCAGGGAGATCAGCAAGACCATGGAGTACCTCAAGAGCTCCGTGGAGAAGCTGTTTAAGAGGATCAACTGTGACGCCACCAAGATCCTGGTGCAGCTCGGAGAGACGGGGAAAATCACCGACATCAACCTGATGCAGTACTTCGGTGAGTCACGCAGGGCAGTCCTGTGCTTCCTGTAACCAGGAATGACAAGTCAGTCTTTGGGAGGTAGCTAGCTTGGTGGTGAGGCACATGGCACAAGGCCAGCCTGCCCTATTCAAATCCTGATTCGGGGCCTTGTAGCTGTGTGACTTTGGGCAAGTTTCTGAACCTCTCTGTGCTAGAAAATGGGAGTGAACCCAATAGATTCCTCATAAGATTGTTGGGAGAGACTTTATAACTGTTGTAGATAGATGCGGAAGATGTGTGTGATAAATTTAACCTTCCTTTCTGATAAAAACTTTGTAACAAAGTAGAATTAGAAAGAAACTTTCTTAACCTGATAAAAGGTATCTCTAGAAAAAGAAAACACAGCTAACATGATATTTAGTGGTGGGAAGCTGAGTGTTTTCCTAAGATCAGGAACAAGGCAAGGATGTCTGCTCTCACTGCACTTGTTCAGTGCTGCACGAGTGATCCTCGCCAATGCAATAGGGCAAGAAAAATAAATGAAAGGCACTGTCACCAGAGAGGAGGAAATGAGGGGCTCAGACGAGTGCCTCGCCTGTAGTAAACGCCTCGCATCCGTCATGCACGCCTCTGATCACGGCTCTATACTCGGAGTTGACAGGACACCTCTCTGGATCAGGAGGGCATTACTGCTCTCAGAATCAAACCTAAGATTTTCAGTAGTGTGGGGCCCTGGAGCTCCCCACCCCTTTCTGTGTGGGACTCAGTGCACAGTGATATTTATGGCTACCGCTGCTTACAGTGAAAGGATATGGAGCAAAAGCAGCAAAGGAAGAAGAAAGGGTGTGGGGTGCTGGGCAGAAACCTTGTGACCATTTGTCAGCTCATGGTGGCAGGAGCCCTCTTGAAATTCAAGTTCTCAGATGCCAGCCAAGAGCCACTCCACTAGGGGCCTCTCCAAGGAGAGAGGCCTCAGGCCTGCTCTGTGAACCTCTCTGTACACAGCCCAGCGGCCTCTTCATAGCCAGGTGCTGGCTTGCACGTCTCCTCTCTTCCTGGCCTTCCCAGCCCCATTCTCCTATGTATCCTGCCAGTCCCTTCCCCACCACATGTTCCATTCCCACCTCAGGGCCTTTGCACGGCTTTTCTTGGAACCCTTGCCTCATGCTCAATCCCTCCTTGTTCTCGGGGCCTAGTGTCTGTCCTTTCCCCAGCCGGGTCCCCCTTTGCTGCCCCATCTGAAGCTGCCCCCACTCCCATAGCTCATGGTTGTCTCTGATCTGACACCCCCGGTCTGCCTCCATGTGGACATAGCTTTCCTGCTGCACCTAGGAGGTGCCTGGAGCCAACAGAAAGCTTCAGATGCAAATGTTTTGGGCCTCTGACTTTCAGATAGGATAGCAACAGTTTGGAGAGGGTGCAGTTTAATAATAATAATAATAATAATAATAATAATAATAATAAAATAGATCCAACTCCAGTAGCCATTGAATTCAGATAGTAAGCATCTAATGGTGGGTGACACTTGCATTCATTGGCTGAGCTGCCCGGCTGTTGCTTCTGTCCCTCGGGATCCCCTGAGACTTCCTCAGAGCGAGGACCATCCCTGTGTTATGGCTGGCATGGCCAGCATCTCTGATCACCCATGGAATGAATGAACGAGTGAGTGAATGGATGAACGAACGACTCCAGAGGCTTTGGAAACACGGTGGGAAGGGCGCCCTCCTCAGACAGGTCAGGGAATCACTTCTGCAGGTGGCAAGGTCTCCAAGCCCCAGTTGGGGTCATTCAGGGAGGGGTACAGGGAACAGCGTTGCAGATGGGAGGAACAGTGTGAGCAAAGGCCTGGAGCCTGGACCAGACACTAGACAGGAAAAGGTGGCACAGAGAGTATGGCCAGGCTGTGTGGCTCCCAGTGTGGGCGTCCCACAGTTTTTCTGCCTTCTTTCCATGGCCACCCCCCCTAAGGAGGGTGGCCCCCTTAGCCTGTTGCGCTCCTGTGAAGTTCAAATGCATGGAAATGGGTGTGAGGTGGCCCCATGTGGACCTCTGGGATTTATGTGCTAAGGAGTGAGGCTCTGTTGCCTTACAAGATCAGATGTTACCCTGCAAGGGGGACCTTGACCCATTGGAGAAGCCCCCAGTCCTCACAGCATGAGGCCCCAGTGCTCTGGCACCCTCCCTTTGTGCCAGCAGCAAGGCACTGGTCTGGTACTGTCCCTTGGCCACCATAGTGGCCCTGGCCTCTTCCTTCCAGCCATCATGGAGAAGAAGACCAATGACCTCCTGCTCCTGGAGGCACACAGGCGCATGCAGGACGCAACGAGGGTGGAGGTCGAGGTCCCACAGCCATTCATCAACCCTTTCTGGGGTGGCTCGGCCCTCCTCAGGCCCCCGGAGCCCGTCAAGGTCGTGCCCCCTGTGTTCGGCACCGACTCCTTCAGCGACAAGCTGGATGACAGTGAGTTCCAGCTCCACTTTGCCGGGTGGGTTTTGGGGTCAGAGTCTGGTGTCTGCCAGGGTCTGTGGGGCCGAGCCTCAGTTTCTCCTCTTCATTTGCTCTCCTAGACCCATTATGTCCACGGGCACTGTCTTGGCTGTGGCCACTGGGCGTGGTTGCATGGGGACAATTCTCCCAATGACGCAAAGGTGACTGAGTTCTTGGTGACCCTGAGACGTGTAAGACTCGCGGTTACCTTGTGAACATTTCAGATGAACCTTAAAGTGACGAAATGTTACGGTTGACAAGTCGTGGAAGTGGGAGAGCCCTAGGGGCTGTCCGTCTCTCACCCTGTGCCCTGGAGTCCCCCCTCCACCTGTGACCTCCCCTGCCAAGAGCAGGGTCCCTGGGGACCTGTCCCGGGTCCCCAAAGCCCAAGGTTGAAGCAGCTGACCGCGGTTCACGCCAGAAGCTAGCAAGATGCTTAACTGTGGCTCGCCTGGCCACGGCCCTTCGTCTTGTCCCTTCCTGAGGCAGAAGTTCACAGTCAGCCCCTCAGTAGGAGCCAGCCCCGTACTCAAGAGGTGGGGATCAAAATGGCCACTTGTAGCTCGAAAACACATAGGGAACTGATCCTTCCAGAAAGTCACTTGGGTCAGAAATGAAGCGAGAGGACATTTACTGCAGTCCCAAACCAGAAACGAGAACTGTCCCCCATTCAAGGTTGGTTAAATAAGTCATGGTTCATCTAAACATACAATGGAGTACTATGCAGCTAGTATCAAGGTCGCTTGGGTCACTGTGAGCTGGGGTGGGAGCTTTTTCGTATTCAGATGGAAAGACAAAGCCAGTGTGGTGGTTTAGGTTCCTAAAAAACCTACTGTGTGCACATGCACAACACACACAGCTCCCATCTGATTCACTTGACACTTAGTAGGAGCGACAACTGGTCAGGTGCCCCCCACATTTGCACAACTTCCTTGGCCTTTCAAGGGCCCCCTTCCTAAAAGGGGGCTGGGAGCAGCTACCAGTAACTCTGTCCTCCCAAGCTCGAGAACTTACAGCTAACGTCCTCCCTTCCGAGTCAAGGAATGCGGTCACACCTTGGGTGCTGTGAGCCACCACAGGTGTAACCCTGAGCGGATGCCCCTTCTGGGTCAGTCAGTCAGGGGAAGGTGCCCCCTGATTCAGTCCTCCTCCAGGTGCCTTTGTGCAGTGCACACCCTGAACAACCGCCCTTCATGTTTTGTCTCCTCCATAGCAAGCCATTCCCACATGTCATTGGGTATCTCTGCCCCTCCCCTCCTGCCTGAGCCCTGAGGATCTCACGTCGCACTCCCCAGCTCTGTGAAGGGACCCCAACCACCCTTGGGTGGCCATGCCTGGGACGCTGGGCCTGGGAAGGAGGCCCCGGAGCTGGGCTTTACTTCCGGCTGCTCACACACCTGTCCTTGGTGCAGTCGAACATCCCCTGGACCACAGCAGCCTGTGGCAGATTGTGCTGGACAACTATGCCCTGAAGGAGAGCCGGCTGAAGGACGTGCGCACAGACAGCCTGCCCGAGAAGGGGGACGAGCAGAGGGCCAAGAGGAAGGTGACTGCCTGAGGCCCAGGGCCTCATCTGTTCCAGTCCCAGAAAGAATAAACCTTTTCGTTCTGTAGTAGCCCCAGGGCTTTTGCACACGCCGAGTGAGAGCGTGAGGCTGGGGGCGGGGGTTTGGGAACCACTTCTGGGACAGGGCTGGCCAGAAGGCTGTGTTTAGAAGAGGGGGAAGGGCTGTGTGAGTTCACTGTGGCCCCCAAGAGCCTTGAGAGAGGGCCCCAACAGCTGACCTTGCTAAGGCCAGCATGCAAAGTGTGTGGCCCCAGTGTAGTCAAAACACTGATCTGGAGACCCCGGGGCCACACAGGGTGCGACAGACAGGAACTAGGAGCCCAGGGGCTCAGGGTCTATCTCTGTGTATGTCCGTGTGTCTGAATGGCTCGGTATTTCTGTGTCTGTCTCTTGTGGTGAACGTGTCACTGCAGCCATGTCCAGGGCGACTCCCTGTGGTCACCCTGACCAAGTGGCCTGAGTGCAGCCCAGACATGGGTTCCCAGCCCCAGTGTCTCTGGAAGGACTAAGAGGCTGTGGGGGACGTGGAGGTGGCAGGGTGTGTGGCTCTGTCCCTCAGCTTTGCAAGGCCCAGTGCCAGGTAGCCAGGGGACTTCATTGGTCACAGGGGTGGCTCTGGCCTTGGGCTCTTCTGGTGATGGCACTGTCACCACTCCCGAGGGGGCTCAGACCCAATGGCACCATTGCCTTGTCCTAGCTCCCGAGTTCCGGGCTTTCTGGAAGCCCACTTCCCCTCCCTGGTTGTCCTTCAGGAAATCCTCTCCCGTCCCCAGACCCCTTGTCAGAAGACGCTGAGTTCTTCTGACCTCAGCCCCAGCAGGACGTGAGTCCCGTGACCCTGGCTTGACGCTTGTCAGTTCTCTGGCAAATGCATGAAGTGTGTTCTGTTAGTCCTGTGGAGCTGGAAGACAGAGACACCCGATTCTCACCAGGACTGCTGAGTGGACAGAGGAGAGATGGGAGCCACTGCAGCCATTTTGCCACCCTGAGAGCAGGGTCACATGAATGCAGGCAGAGCTGGGGAGAGGCTGCTTCTGCTCTGAACATACAGCTCCAGCTCCTTGATGCAGCTGTGCCTGAAGCCATTGGACTTCTCAGCTACGTGAACCCACTTGTTTCTTTTCTTTTTTGGGGGGTGGGCAGCACTGAACCCGGTTTGAATGCAGCCTTGCACTTGCTAGGTAATTGCTATACTGCTTGAGCCTTGTCCCCAGTGCTGTTTCTTGAGTTGGGATTCTTGCAGCCGTAACAAACCTGATGCTTCACCCTTGACTTTGGTCACTCAAAATCTACAGTCAAGGAGAACCAAGGCCCTGGACCCCAGGCAGGGCCAGAAATCAACATTGCTGCCCCAATAAGCCAGGAAAGACGCACAGACGACCTCTGTGTTATCTGGAACCAGAAATTACCTTCTAGTGACTAATGACTGTGGTTTTTACCTAATGAGCCAGGAGCAGATGTGCGAGGCTCCCCCCCACCCCCCGCCCCTGTCACTGCCCTGGGCCCCTCCCAGCCCATCTGGGGGGACACACCCATGGCACCCTCAACAAAGGGGTGAAACTAGACGGGAATTGTCACTCAGTTAACATCTGGTAAGATACACCCTGGGTGGGAGTTGTCCTGGGTGACTGTGAACGTTGTCTCTAGTAAAGAGTCACTAGGATTCAACAACAATGACAGCACGGTGCCCAGCCTTGTACACAGCCTTTGTGCGGGCCTGCCTTATTCAGGGCGTGTCTGTCTGTCAGAGGAACGCCATGACCCATGGACAAGCTCCTGTTTATTTGCACCTGTGGGCTGGGGGCCATAGGGGATCTCCAGCCCCGCCAGCTGCCATGAGGGTAGAAGTGGGTGAGGTAGGGAAGGAGGTGTAGCTGGGGGGGGACAGGAAGCACCCCGAGGATGATGGGGTGGCCAGTGTCGCTCAGTCCTTTTCCTCCCCATGGGTGATGATATGCACCAGGTTCTTGTAATCCAGGTGGCCGGTCACGTCAGGGGGGAAGGCTATGAACATCTGTTCGATCTGGTGACAACGAGGTGGGGGTGAGAGGTGGTCTGGGCTGTGGTGGCTGTGACGGTCATCGGCGACTCTCCCAGGAAGGACATGGGCCCTGCCTGCTGCAGGAGTCCCTCCCTGGGGCAGCCACAGCCAGGAGCAGTGGGGGGGTCCGCTGGCCCTGCTGCCTCCCCCAACCTGGGACACTTGGAAGGGCGGCTCCAGCCCCTGGGGTCCCTGGGCCTCAGCCCAGATCATTGGTGAGCTGCGACTTGGCCCAGCTTCCCCTGTGTCCTTGACCTTCCCTGCCCTTCCTTGCCAGAGACTGAGCCCAATCCTTGCCCCCTGCTTGGACATTTATGGCACCTGGCCTGCAAAAGGGCTGGGATGGTCACTGAAGGGAGCCAAACAGGCCGGGTGAGAACTGTGGCTAAGTGGAGGTGCCTAACTGCTTACAACGGTCAGCCACCTGGATATGGCCAGGTCGGAAGGTCAGTGCTTCCTGCCATTAGCTTGTTCTGTTCTCACGTCATATTTTCAGGTAGGTTCTGTTATTATCCTCCCTTAAGGATGGGGAAACTGAGGCACGGTGAAGTTAAGGAGCTACCAGAGTCACATATGGTGGGAGGTGGAGGCAGCTCTTTTGACTGCTCGACTTTGGAGGTGAAATGTAAACCCCGTTTCTAATGCAGCGTGGACCTTGATGGGTCACTTCTTACGGACACACTGCTGCCCCCCGCTGGAAAATGACGCAGCCAGCACAAAGCCACCCGCGTGTTGTAAGGCCGCTGCGGGCAGAGCCTGACTCCCACAGCTGCACGTGGCGACCTCGCAGCCATGGTTGTGAGGAGGGCAGAACCTGGAGTCGGAGCTGGGCTGGGGTCCAGGCTCTGGCATTTCCCATTAGTGTTGTCATTTTAGGCAAGTGACTTTACTTCCTGGGCCTCAGTTTCCCCATCGAGGGTGGTAGAGGATGGGATGAGGCAAAGCTCAGTGAGCGGTGGCTGCTTTTCTGGAGGCTGAGCCACGAGCTGAGTTGTGGGGGCCCCGTGGGACCCCATTACCTCCTCTTTGGAGAACCTCTCCGCCTGCGTGGTCAGCATCTCCCGAACACTGCAGGAAGAGGAAAGCAGGTATTGGGGTTCAAGTGTTGGGGAAGGAAATTGGGGGTCCCCTCTGCCCTCGGAAACCACTTACTAGTCGGCTTTCAGCACCCCTTTGCCTTCAGGGTCAAACACCTTGAACGCGTTGAGGATGGTCTCCTCGGGGTCCGCCCCTGAAATGGGAAGGGGTTCACACGTGTTGTGGGGGGCTAGGGACCAGGGCCCCCCAAAGATGAAGGGCCCAGGGCCAGACTGTTTTGCTGGGAGGAAGACCTGCCTCCTGCTGCACCCCAAGCCCTGGCAGTTAAAAGGCTGGGCTGAGAATCCAGGTGTCAGAGCTCACTGAAGGTCAAGTGCAAGCTAGGTGTGGACAGACCAGGCTTCCAGTCCTGACTCTGGGGTGGGGCTCCAGGGGAGGGGTGTGTGTCTGAGCCTCAGTTTCCCCCCTGGAGCCTGGGATAAGGCAGAGCACAGGCACTGAGAGCTGCTGCTTCCTTGGGTCCTCTGTCCCTCCAGACGTCACCTCCCCACCTGTCCTAGTGCCCGGATGCAGACCCAGGCTGGACCCACAGGTGAGCTCACCTTGAGCTTCTCCCCAAACATGGAGGAACACAGTGAAGTTGAATGGGCCCGGGCCTCCTTGAGCATTCGTCAATCTCTCATTCTTCACATTCA